TTAAATGTGACTGTTTTGTAAGTAATTACTACTTTCAAATTCTTTTGAGGTGTCTTGCTGCCTTTAGAAATGGATTGAAGTGGCTTATTGATGAAGTCCCAACTTAGGATGAGATTTTTACCAAAGAAAACATGGTTTCAAAAAAATGCAGAATGTTCATGGCTTTTAAAGAACTGTATGTATGTGGACAATGAGGTCCTGAGATCTTTAGCAATTAAAGAAAAAGGGAGAATCTATTGAGCTATTAAATTCTCAACTTTTAACAACACACAGAAAGTACACTGAAAATGCTAAGGATAATTTTTTCTATTGGTTTAGATATCTTCTCTATAAAATAAAGACATTAGAAAGCAGGCTCTTGCATAGGTCCTAGGGATTGGAGAGAGAGTAAGAGAACAGGATTCGTGCTATGTTTACCATGAACTGGGAATGTGAACATTCATAAAATATTTATATAGTCAAATGAATCAGGGGAGATAGCTCTATTGCTACCAGGGAATGTCTCTCTGACCCAGGAAAGTATGGTGTCTTCTCATGTTCTGGGTCACTTGTGTCACTGTCTGAGCAACAATCTTCTCTGTTCATTTATTTGTTTCACTCAGTCCTTAGTATTCATTCCACATACATTTCATAAATAGTAGATATGAAGCATGGTTAGTTTGCTGGATAGGCAAAAGACATATTACCATAACCTTTACTCTCTGTGGAACCTGTTATGTAATGAGGAACCAGTTGAGGCCAATAAATTCTGATAGTGATTTGACAGACATCATGGGATTCTGTAGAGGTGAACAGAGTGGAAAGGGCTATGTAGATTACCAGCTTAAGGACTCAAATTCTATTTTACTCCTCTCAACAACCCTAGTCAAGCTCAGAGAAGTCAGGGCAGCTGGAGGTTGAAGCATTGGCTCACCATGCATCAGAAGTTAGGAAGCAGTGTGATGACAGCCGCTGGTCAGCTCTCTTCTTCCATTTATACAGTCCAGGATTGAGGTCAGAGAATGGTGCGTCACACAGCAGGTGAGAGATCCCATCCCAGTCTATGTACTCAAGATAGTCCCCTAAAGGGACACCCAGGAGCCTATCCGACTGGTGATTCTAGATTCTATCAAGTCAGTAATAATCATTAACCATCACAAAAGACTTGTAGGTGTAACTTAAAAGCAGTACCCGACTGTTTTCCCAAATGATAATATTAAGATATAATATAATAATAATAATAATAATGCCCAATCCAGATTCCAGTTTCTTGGGGTGTAGGTGTTCTAACACAGAGGAGAAGCCAGCTGTGGTGATTTTACTCCTTTGACACATGGATGTTCTATGATACAAAAACTTTGCATTGTTCCACGTCTCAAAGCATCATCAAAAACAACTGTAACAAACAAACAACAACCAAAGACCACATAACCAAGCCCCCTCAAATTTAATGATGTGTGAAAGATTTTGGGACAGTATCTTTTACTCTGTCATTCACACGATCCTGGGAAAACTGATATTTCTACTTCTCAGATGAGGGAATTGAGGCATGGAGAGGTTAATTGATTTCCTCGAGGACTTATACATGGGTGTGGTAGGCTGTGGAAATGCTGACCCTTGGGAAAACCAGAGATGACTCTCCTGTCCTCTCTACACTCGGCATGTGGAGGAGTCACATTTCTACCGTCAGCCTCATACATTCGACTACTGTTGGTAATACTCAGAATTAGCAAGCTTCTCATGCTTGGAATGTTGTTTCCCCTGATGTGGTATACCTAAAGATAGTTCCATCTTTCCTTAGATTTTTGAGTATTTAAAAGATAACAGGTCGATGAGTTTCCCTTCAAATATCTGCTCATTTAATTAAGCTATCCCCTCTAGACCCTCTGTAACTCAATGTCAGTTACTCTTAACCTTCCTAATGGTATAACCCTTTAATACCATTCCTCATGTTGTGGTGACCCCAACCGTAATATTATTCCATTGCTACTTCATAACTCCAATTTTGCTGCTGTTATGAATCATAATATAAATATCTGATATTCAGGATATCTGGTATGTGACCCCTGTGAAAGGGTCATTCAATTCCCAGATGGGTCATGACCTGCAGGTTTGAGAACCACTGCACTATGTAATACCAGGTGGTCTTGAACACCTGATTCTCCTGCCTCAGCTTTATAGGACTAGAATTGCAGTTGGGTATCACCATGTGAGACATTTGATCCAGATGCATATTTTTTTCTTTGCTTTAAAGGAGGTTAAATATTTTGTGTTGAAACAAAGGATGTCTACCCACATCTTGCTTTAGTGATATGCATCAAACAGTAGTAACATGTCATGAATTTTCAAATAATGTGTTCATAGTTGGAAATGTTTGCTAAACAGGTTGCTGCAAGGGGATTGATAATAATGCCTATATATTTGCTTGTTTATGACTTGATTATTATAAAGTCAGCAAATTTATATTATGTAGAAATATGGGCATTCAATATAGCTCACTGTTTAACTAAGCTTACTTTGTAACATTGTTTTCACAAAGATTTTCTGAATGTACTTTCTCTCTCTGACATATTTTCTCATCCTGAAGGACAAATTAGATTGGAACGTGGTAGTCTTTTTTTAAAAAAATCTATGTTTAAATAGTCCAATATCTGGCTTACTGTATTTATAGTAAGAAAAAGCTTCTAAAATATATTCATATTTTCAAAGACTATTTTAGTAAGTTTTGTGAACCAAGAAATGTTTTGATAGTCTAGAAGTTTGTATGCAGGTAATAACTCTAGCTCTGGAAATCTTAATTATTTTTAATGTAGAAAGATGAACAAAGGTTTGTAGAAGATAAGAGTTGCATAGCCTGATACTCTGTAGGACTCAAGAGCTAAGAAGACAAGAGCTACATACTCTGCCACTGTTGAGCACCTAAGAGCTATGTTGACTAATATTTATGACTCTTGGATGGTGAGAGACCCTTATACAGAATTAAACTGGGAAAATAAGGTTTTCTGTTTTGTTGTTGTTGTTTTTCTTATTCTTAACTGAAATACTGAAGTTGGAAGATAATTTGAAACTCTGATAACACCCCAGCAACTGCTTCTGGGAGTGCTTTGCTAAAACAAAGAAGCTAGTAAATCAGATATAACGACAGAGAAAAAGTCACAGAGAATGCAAGCATGGAGCACAGAGTGCTAATTGTAAGGCAGGCCACCAGCATGCGGAGCACGCACAGAAAGTACCTGAGGTCTGAGGTCCTCTGGAATACATCTTTGGTGATAACAACACAGTCCGCAACAGGGATACTTTTATATTTATTTTATTTGCCATTATTGCCAGAGGCCTCAAATCCCACATAGTCAAAATCTCCATTCACTGCTGCCTGCTGGGCATTTAACAAGGGCTCTTGTAACAGGACCCAGAACAAGTATGAACATGAATAAAAAGTGCAGGGGCCAGCCAGGCACCACAGGCTGTGAGGTAGCCAAGTGGAGGCATTGGAGGGAAACAGAGAAAGCAGACAATGACCCCGAGTGCCTCAAGGCATGGCTTCAAAAGGTGTCAACACCAATTAAATTGTAAAAGCTCTGTCAGTGTCTGAAAAGTCATCCAGACAGGGACAAGACAGTACATAAATCAAAGGATGGGACGAGATTCTGTATGGCCCATGCTGGACCAGCATCCGCATGTGTGTCTGGCAATTTGTGATCCATATGTGAGCCTTCAAGACAAGCATGTCCTTAAAGATGTAAATGCCCTTCTGCTGGAAGCACACTTGTCTCACTGCTGGCAGAGCCTGGAAACCTTTACCAGCAGGTGTCCGACGGGGGTTCCCAAAGGTAAAATGCCTAAGAAAACACTCCATGACAGCTGAAATATGTGCAGTTGATTATGACCAAGGATAAACCAAAAGACAACTTGGCACAAGCAAAATAGTGACACGAGCTATGGACAAGAAGTAAGGTGAAACACGATTGAGAGATTTCTTTGCTGATAAAGCCTCCACAGAACCTCTGTTTTCTGCAACAGGACATTTCCAAAGCAACTCATTAACAGGGGATTTATTTCAAATACTAACAATAGCAAGGAGATAACTTTTCGTGTCTTATTTGGTCATGGAACGTGCTAATGTGGCTTTAACGGAAGGTACCCTAATCTCAATTCATGAACTGCCTCCCTCTCTCTCTGGCACAATGACTCTTTCGCCTACGGGTAACTATGATAGGTATGACCAATTTGTTGGACGACTTTCAAAGTGACAGCAGAGCTGAGGAGGAGAAGAAACGCATCTTTATAGCTAGAGGGGGGTAGGCAGGGAGAACTGTCAAAGTATTTCTCATGTATTTGAAAGCTAAGTTATTTTCTTGGTCTACGGAACTTTTTCACTCAGCAGATCAAGTAAAATGCCTGAGGTTTGAGGTAGATGGATTCATACGGAAGAGTAGACAATAATGTCATTAAATTTCCAATGAGTCATTAAAAAAAACCCTGAAAATATTACTCTTGCTTATATTCTTTCTAAGTGGAAGACTATTTAGGGAGAGGATTTAGAATGAAGTCAGTTATCTTGAAACTATTTAACGTAGCTTAAGTTTTATTTTGAAGGAAAAATGAACTGAATATAAAATAAGGTACCATATCAAGTACTGAGTATCAGATGACATGATCTAGTTAAAACTTTCTTTTACAGTAGAATAGTATTTTGGAAAGTAAGTTTGATAATCAGAAGTTAGGAAGTCAGTGGTGAGTTTATGTACATTTTACTTTTGATGTGGCTAGTCAAATGGGGATGCTTAAGACAGTACTTTTCTCTCTTATATCAATTCTACATTGATACTCTGGATAGTAGTGTCCCTGGCTTGATTGCTGGTCATGATATTTCCCTTCTCATAGTATTACTGTATATGTTTTCAAAATTGTCACCATGAGTAACAGGGTTTATACATCCAAGTGTCTACAATTAAATGTCTACTCAGAAAAGACATACATCATATCTAATTAATGTTAATTGTCTACTTGTTACAACCTAGAGTCACCTGAGAAGAGAATCTCAATGAAGAACTAGATCAGGCTGACATGTGAGTATATCTGTGAGGACTGCCTTCCCAGTTTTTGGAAGACTGAGTTTGAAAGTACTCAGTACCATTCCTTGGATTAGGGCCCTGACTATATAACAGAAAAAGTGAACTGAGCAGTAGGCACACATGCTTTTTTTTTTTTCCTCTCTGCTCTGGGATTTAAGTGGGTTAGTTGGTTCAAGCTCCTGCTTTGAATTTCCTGCAATAATGAACTCTAATCTGAATTTTAGTCAAGGTATTCTATAACAGCAACAGACATGAAACATGATGCCAAGCATCTCATAAAACTGCACATAACTTCTAAAAGTGAACACAGTCTCACACCGAAGCTGGAAAGAGGAGGGATTGGGTTTTATGAACGGTTGTTGTCAGTCATAGATGAGTCTTCTGATAAAACAATCTAATGTTTCTCTTATCTTTCTCCAGCCAACATTCAACCACATCATAAGATAGACAACCTAGGTGTCTACCACACTCTTCATTCAGCAAAGTCCAGGACATTGCATGCTTCCCAGAAGTTAGATGGGAAAGTGGCTCCATTTAGAATGAAACTACGTAAACTGAAAAGGTATTTCCCCTACCAATCAACATATCATAAATCTAAGAATGACTATGGGATTCATAGTCATAAAGGAGTTGTCCTTTGGACAAGATTAGAGCCTCCAGGCTCAGGGTGGGGAGTATTCACTCCCTACGGCTGCATTTTCTGAGAAGAGACTCATATTCTCTTGTTCTTGGTGACTTAAAGCCCCAAACTCTGTAAGTTCAATTCACTGTTTATGCCTTCGTGTCACAGTTGTATTGGGAAAAGTCCACTTTTGAAGAATGAATAGTTTTCTCAGTCCAAGGAAAGTCAGATACCACAGGTGATTTTCCATCACACAAAAGTGCAAGCTCCTTGAGTCAGTCACAGATGCCCTCTGCCAGGGAAATTTCTCTAAACGCGTTTGTGTTTCTTATCTGTTTCATTCAATTCATCATGTGACCTGAAGTTCCCAGAAAAAGACCACACCTGTGCTAGTATTTTAAAAGGATGATGGATTGATCAGAACTTTGTGATGGTGGAGAGTTGGGATGTTGCAGATTCAGAGCCAAGTCACAGACAGATTAATCCTTTTCCAGGTTTCAGTGCTGACAGCAGCCACATGCTTGTTTTGCTCCTTGTCTTAACAGCGATTTCATTTACCTGGTCTTTGAAAGGCTGTGGTCTTTTTATGCCCTTTTTAATGCTCTTTTATAGTTGAGACTCAGTTGCTTCTTCTGTTCTTACTGGTTGTACTGGCTAGTTTTACTGTCAACTTGACAGAAGCCTGAATCACTAGGAAAGAAGCCATCTTAACTGATAAAAATGTTTCCATAGGATTACCCTTTAGGCAAGTCTGTAGAGAAGTGGTTCTCAACCTTCTTAATGCTTTGGCCCTTAAATACAGTTCCTCATGTTGTAATGTCTTCCCCAACCATAAAATTATTTTTGTTGATACTTTATAACTGTAATTCTGCTACTATTGTGAATCATAATGTAAATATCTGATATGCAACCCCTGTGAAAACCCCAAAAGGTTTGCAACCCACAAATTGAGAACCATTTCTATAGAGCATTTTTTGGCTTGAGGATCGTTGTGAGATTGCACAGCTCACTTTGAGCAGTGCCACCCCAGGATGCTGGTCCTGAGTACTATAAGAAATCAGACTGAGAAAGGCCTGAGGAGCAAGCCAGTAAGCAGTAGTCCTCCATGGCCTCTATTTCTCCCTTGAGTCTATGATCTGACTTCCTTCAGTGATGGACTATAAATTACAAGATGAAATAAGCCCTTTCTTCCTAACTTCTGGCCAGGATGTTTTATCAGAGCAATAGAAAAGTGACAAACACCCTCATTCCTCATTGTATATTTTACTTTATTTTATTTCTCACATAAACTAGTCTTATGGTTTACAAAATGGTATCCTTCTTTTCCAATGATAATCAGTCAGTTGTAACACAGATCAATTAGCAGACACTCTAACTTTCCTAGAGCTACAGGCTTATTTTGCATGTGCTTTATAAATTACTATAGAGTTGTCATTGACTAGGACTTATCACGTAGTGCCTAAAGCTATGAGAGAGTATATTTCTGTCATCTGTTATGACTTTGTGTGTGTGTTCTAGCAGATATTGCCCCTTTTTGCTCTTATAAATGAAATGTGGACTAAGAGTACAGCTTGGAATCTGAATCCTGAAGCCAGAATTTCCCCTAAGTCAGTTACTCCTTGGTTACTGGTACCCAAAAGTTATGATCATGGCAAGTACTTGATGTTCAGTCTGTGGTCATGATTAATTCGGGTGGCTGAGTCACACATGTGCCCTTTGAACAAAGATTTTTGCCTATCCTATTACATGGGTCTTGGCCAACTCTGGGAGGGTACCTCCACTAGATGTGTTTAGTCATCTTGTGATTTATTCCTGCCGTCTTTTCGTGGAAACTTATCTCTGTGGATTTGGAATGAAACGTATTCCGTCTTCTGTCATGGAAGTGCTAAGAAAAGTCATCATGTTGGATATTACAATCTACATTTTATAGGCACTTGGGGTGCCTTTAAAGAGACAGGTGATGGGAGTTTTTGATATTGTACTGTATAAAACTTGGTGTGATTCTAAGTCAACCTGAGAAACTTTAGATAGAATAAACTAGGCTGAACACACATTGTGAATTCAGGGAAACTGGGAAGACTGAAAGACAGCTTTCTCTTGTACGATATCAGGTGCTCCCATTAACCAGGACTAAAAATAATAACCTGGCAATGATGATGGGTTGATCATCTGCCGAAGAACCTCTGAGCCTTCTGCTAAGAAACCATTGCATGTCATGTGCATGCTCAGAGGCCCAACCCATTAGCTTTAGGCTGTCCCTTTTGCCTGGGGCTCTTAGCTTTTCTGCTAACATAACACTCTCTTCAATCCTCCTAGAAATTTGTAACTCTTTGCTTAGGAACCTCATCTATAGCATCAGTCTCCTTCTTAAGTAGTTAACTTGAACTTAAACCTGGCTTTCTCCTATGCTAGGCATTGCCTCTTACCTCAGCATTTCAAGGTGGGGCAAAACAGACATTCCTTTCTACATGTTGACTCATGGCCCTCTCCCCGGGTCTCTAAGAGCCAGGAATATTCTTCTCTCCCACTTCTTCTCTTTTCTTTCCTTTTAAGATTATGACCTTCCTTCCTCTGCTTAAGTTATTGGAGGATTCAGCCTCTCTGTTTGGATAGCTACTTGTTGAATTATAAGTTTCTTATCTTCATAGAGAAAGCCACAAATGAAGCCAAAGAGAGAATCAAAAAGTAGAGAAAGGTGCTGATTTGATACAGATAGCTATTTTCTTTCTATTTTTCTTTTCTTTTTTTTTAAAGAAGAGTTAATTATGTAGTTTGAGATCCTAGATCTAGTTACTAAGAATCTATACTTGCACTTTTTCAAATCAAGTCATCTTTTCTGTTAACAAGTTTTCCAACTCTTTTAGTATCATTTGCAACTCAATAAGCCATTTGAGAGCAAGCACCAATCAGAAGCCCAGGACAGAATTATTATATGACAACAGACAGTGTGAATTTACTGGGAGCATAGTAGAATGGCATGAGTATTAGGAAGAATTTTCTAAGGAGGTTTTTAAAAATGTCAGCTATTTAGGTTTTAATTTAGACTGTGAAAAGCTGTATTACATTCATATTCATGTCTTTATATCATTTATGAACATGAAAACACTTAAAATAAACTGATGATAGAAAGCACACAGCGCAGATACAAGTGCCTGTATCTCACTCATGTTTTGTTTGTAAGAAATCAAACGCCCTAGTTTGTTTTCTGTTGCTGTAATAAGACACCATCACCAAAAGCAAGTTGGGAAGGAAGGGGCTTCTTTTGAATTACAGCTTATAGTTCGTTCATCATGGGGAATCAGGGCTGGAACTCAAGGCAGGAACCTGGAGGCAGGAACTGAAGCAGAAGCCATGGAGTAATGCTGCTTACTGGATTGCTCCCCTTGGCTTGCTCAGCCTACTTTCTTATACCATTCAGGACAATTTTCCTTGGGATGAGAGTGGCCCAGTGGGCTGGGCACTCCCACATCAATCGTTAACCAAGAAAATTCCTCAGAGGCTTGCCTATAGGCCAATCCAACGGAAGCAATTGTTTTACCTTCTTTCCAGATGTTCCAAATTAGCAAGAAACTAACGAGCATACCACATTATGGCATTCGCTTGACATTTGTGTTATGCTAATTGGATCTTTGACTGGGCTACTGTGCATGTTAAATGAAGCACCGAAAGGAAAGATTCGAAAGTGTGTTCCATGAGGAGGAAAACGATAGTCAGTGGAAGTGAGATACTAATGAACCAACTTTAGCTCTCAGACTTTTCTTCCTCAGAGACATTTGACTGCTAATAGTTAGAGATATAAATTTTCATTTTACTTAATTTAAGGAGATTTAAAGGAAAGTGTTGAGGTCTTTGTTCTGCTTAATGGCTTAAAAAATTCTATTGTGCCTAAAATCCGAGTATCCTTTATCCATTTCTTAGTTTGGGGTCATGTTGGTTGGTTCCATAATTTCGCTGTTAAGGATAGTGTGGCCATAGCTTGGATGAGCAGTTGTCTCTGTGATGTGCTGACTTTGAATTCTTTGGGTAAATGCCCAGCAGTGGCAGTACTGGGTCATATGACAGTGCTAGTTTTAGTTTTTTGAGGAACCTCAATACTGATTTTCATAGTGGCTAGACTAATTTACATTGTCACCAGCAGTATCCCTTTGTGTCTGCATCCTTACCAGCATTTGTTATTATTTTTTTTTCTTAATAACTGCTATTCTGACCAGGGTGACAGAGACCCTCAATTCAGTATACTTTCAATTTCTATTTTCCTGATGACCAAAAAGGCTAAATAGTGTCTCATGTGCTTATTGCCCAGTGTGTTTATCTGTTGAGAATTTTCAGTTGATGTTATTAGCCCATGTATAAGTTGAGTTCTTTGAATGTGTGTGTGTGTGTGTGTGTGTGTGTGTGTGTGTGTGTGTGTTTGTGTTTTGAAGTTTTATTGTTATTGATTCTGGTTAATCATTCCATATAAGATATGTAGGATTTTTAGCTGTCAGATACTGCAGGCTGTCTTTTTCGCTGGTTAACTTTTTCATTTGGTAAGCAAAAACATTTTAATTTCACGAGACCAGTTTGTCAGTTGCTTTCATCATTTCCTGAGTGACAGGAGTCCGATTCAGAAAGTGGTGTCCATGTCTGAAGGGTTTATCTTTGCTTTGATCAGTTAAGAGTATCAGGTCTTATATTAATGTTCCTGCTCCTCTTGATTTTAATAACAGTCAGAAGTAAGGATCATTTTTTTTTCATTCTTCATTTATGGAAGAGATTGTCTTTGCTCAGATATGGCTGTAGCTTTGTAGGGTTGAATCTGGGCCTTCTATTGTCCCATTGGTCTCTGTGTCTGGTTTTCTTATGTTCCATGCTGTTTTGGTTAGTGTGG